AGATTGCACAGACTTTGAAATAAGGTTGCTTTTGTGTGTTGGGATTGTTCTAATGCTTTCTTTCTATGATAGACCAAATAACCTTCAAAACCTATACATTAACAAAGTCTTGTCCACAATTACTTCATGTTAATGATTATTTAGTGAGCCAAAAGAACCACTAGATGTCACTCTGACTTTATTTTTAGAGTGACATATCAAACTTTATTTAGTGCCTTTCAATCTTAAATATTAAATTCAGAAGCATTTTTTAAAATCCAATAAATTGGGCTGGGGTTGTGGCTCAGTGGCAGAGTGCTTGCCTAGCACATGTAAGGCACTGGGTTCAATCCTTAGCACCACATAAAAATAAATAAAGGTATTGTGTCCATCTACAACTTTATAAAAAAAATTAAAAATCCAATAAATTGAAAAGCACACTTAAAAATGTTAACAAAAATAGGAACTGGAGGTGTAGCTCAGTGGCAAAGCACATGCTTTGCATGTATAAAGCCATGGGTTCAGGGTCCAGTACAGGGAAAGGAAAAAAAATTGAAAAGAGTACATTAGTTTTTTATTTAAATAATATTAACAAATAGGGTGATATGTGATTTCTAAACAGTGATTAGGCAAATGACATTTAAAAGAATGTTTGGTGTGGGAATGCTAGATGAATAATGGCAGAGTCTATATGAGTGAAATATTTGTCTGTCCTGGGGCCATATTTCCAGTAACCGGGCTATATGAACTCAATTAGTAGCAGTAGGAATTTTTCATATAGAGATAAGAAGTTCAATGGTGAACTGTATTGGATTCGTTTGTCATGAAGAGAAAAATTCGACTGATGAAATAGAAGTAATTATAAGTTAAAGGCAGAAGGTAGGAGGGAAGCAGCATAGAGAAAACAAGATGTGAAGTTTTATTTCTGAGACTGAGATAAACTTCCCTAATCTTTCTCCCAAACCAAGTAGCACTCCAAAGGACTTCACTGTGCATGGCTCAGAACTCAATTGGTTGCAAGTAGCAGAGACCAAATTCCACTGGTTTAAGGGAAAAATAAACAGATTTTTATGTGCTCACAAAACTGGTAATTGTGGGATTGGGATGGCTTCTGGCATGGTTGGATCTCCTTAAGGCAGCAGATCTCAAAGTGTGATCTGGGGACCCAGGGGTGGGGACCTTGAGACCCTCTTGGGTCATCAAGGTCGAAACCATTTTCATAATAATACCAACACATTGTTTGTCTTTTCCACTTGTTTTCTCACAGTGTGTAGTGGAGTTTCCAATGGCTTTGTGACCTGCTATATCCCACATATTGAACACAGAAGCAGAAAATAGAATCCAAATGCCTTTAAAACTGGCCATTAGAGAGATATGCAAATATGTAAAAGGCTGCTCCTCTCAGTAATTTTTTTTATGTTTGAGAAACTATGATTATTTTATCATAAACATCATATCAGTTGGGTAGTAGCAAGAGAGCATACACTTAGCATCCCCAGCACACACACACACACACACACACACACACACCCCCAAGAAAAACCACCCCACTCTATTAAAAATATGTTATTTTAATATACTGTTATTTTAAGTGAATAAATAAAACAATATTTTAAAATATTCTTTTCTTTTTAAAATTTCTACTGTGGTAAGTATTTCTTTGGAGTATTGATCATTCCTAAGAATGTAAAGGGTCCTGAAAACTGAACTTTGAGAACTACTGGCTTAAGTAAGATATAGTGGATAGCTGGGCCTGCAGCTTGACTGGCATCTACAGGATACTATCTCCATATCTTAAGACTGCTCTTTGAGGGCTAGCATGTGAGGGCAAAGACAACTTGTGAAACTCCAGGATTTTATCTACCAACCTTTTGGAGGCACGGTTAAAATTCCTAGTTACAATGTTGGCCACACTTGAGTCACAGGTCCATCCATATATTCATCACTTGAACCAGGAAATGGTTGACACCTGCATCATTATGTCCACCTCTGGAGCTAGGGGTAGGGTCAGCCCACCAGCACCAAAGGACAGCTGAAGAAGGGGTGGTTCTCTAGAGGGATGCTGAACAGGTAAAAGACCAAGCTCCCTACCAAAAAGTCTAAATCCTTCTGAAGATTCAAAAGGACAACTACCTCTTTTTCAGACTCCTGACCCTCCACCATCAGCATCTTGAGATAATACAGTTGTCTTTCTCTTCTTGGGGGAAAAGAAAGACTCTGATTTCTTTAACTAATTAGAGTTTGGGTCCAAATCACACGTCCTAACTGAAGGTTTCCTTATGTGTTAACTGTTGATCCAAAAGAAAGTTGTCCTTTTGCTATATATTTATGTAACAAGTCTAACTTAAACTGAGATTCCATCCTAAATGTCTAAAGATTTCAATTTTATGAGAGCTTATGCTGCTTGCAAGGTGCTTCTTGTCAGTTCTTTTAATATTCTAGAGGTTTCTGTGTCCTTACCTTTGAGAACAGGACATAAGGGAGTTGTCCTTTATTTAATATTTTTTAACTTCAAACATGGAAGTTGGGATAGGGTTTGGAGCATAGCTCAGTGGCAAAGCACTTAAGGAACGTGCCCAAGGACCTGGGTTCAATCCCAACATACCCCCCCAAAAAGTTGGGAATTGCGGAAGAAGTTATCCCCAACCTGGTCTATCAGTTTCTATAGAGAATATCTATAAAATGAAATTTTACATAATTATTGTTTCAGATTATTCATTGAAAGCATTTCTTAAATGTTTTAATAATAATATAAAATAGCAGTTTTCTCAGTCTTTAAGTACTGAGTTTATATTCTTCAATGATTATCTTTTTCTTATGTCCTTTGCCTTTTGCTTTCAACTTCATTACATTTATTTATATTTATTGATTGATAAATGAAATTTTATATGTGTATGGTGTCCAAACATGATATTTTCTTATATGTATACACTGTGGAATGGTTAAATTAAGTTAATTAACATACTTGTTATCTCACATAATTCTTTTTTTTTTTTTTGCTGTTGTTTGTGAGAGCACTTAAAATCTACTCAGCATTTGTTGAGTATACAATACATTGTTTTTTAACTATAAGAGTTACCATGGTTACATTGGATCTCCCATAATTATTTCTCCTGACTGATATTTTGCATAGCTTTATTACTTTTAATTTTAAAAGCTAATCATGCAAAATCTTAATTTTACAGAGTATAAATGAATAGGTCATTGGGAGCCACAGGAAATAATTTTTTCAGAAAAAAACTGTATAGTCAGTTTAAAATTTATTTAAAATAAAAACATTATTCATTACTTTGAAAAAATGTTAATGTTTCTCCTATTGTTTACAAATTAAACTGCAAAAGGAAACCCCAATAAAAATTGCATAAATTATCTGAAAGCATTAATAAATCTTTACCACATACTTTCATTTGGTTTCACCTTATGTTTCCACAAAAATACTACCATTTGATGAGTATGAGAATTTACTTTTTTGTGTTTTGGCTTTGACCTTCAGGTTACTACTAAAGTTACTACTCAAAAATCAAATTACATGTGCTATTTGTTTACATAAAATATCATGTAGTCTTATTTGCTTCTCTAGACCAACTTTCATTAAGCACAATTATAAATACCAAACTCAAGTTGTTATCACACCTCACAGTAGTTTTTAAACTGTTTTGAAAATAAAAATTCACATTATCACATAATTTTAAATAGAAAAAGTTTTAGTAACCATATTCCTTGGAAATAGTTCTAATTTGTTCCAATAACTTAGTAACTAATGCTTCTGGGTAAAAAACATAGTTATCTTGTATTGTTTTCATTTGAATAGAAATAACATTAAATGATATGCAATATTAATACAGAGTTACGCTGATAACCTGAAATCAGAACAACGTTCAACTGTGAGCATCTAGTATTTGCAAGGCACTAAATAAGTCATTTCATTTAAAGAATGGATAACAAACAATCTTAGAGTAGATAATAATTAAAACATAGAACACAAGAAAGCCTGTCTCAAATTTGCATTAAGTCCAACAAGCAGAAATTTTACTAGAGAGTTCTAATTCAAGATGAGAGCCTGATCATTTATTATATGGCATTTTCTTCTAATGAAATAAATAAAGCCCTGTGCCACCACCTTGACACCCAAATGTTTACGCAAATCATATAGCCTACTGCTTCTCAAACTTGGCTGCAAAGCAGAATTGCCTGGAGGGTTTTTAAAAAAAATACTCATTCCCATATCTCACTCCTTGAAGTTCTGCTTTAATTGGTCTGGGGGTCTTCTAGCAACTATTTTTCTAGTCCTTGGTAATTAGCAGTCTGTATGGTGTTTTCAACTTTCTAGGTTTTATCAACTGTGAGATTGTTTTGATTGTCAGGTCTTTGTGGTAAGCTGAATTCTGCATGGCAGGGCTTACTGTGCAGAACGGTGGCAATGCCTCTCTTCGCCTTAATCTATTGCCTCTCACTTCCTTACTCTCTCCCAGTGGAGGCAAGTTGCTGTGGAGGCAGCCACCGTGGCTGATCATCACTGAAAATACCAATGAAAAGAACTGACCTGCCTCCTTGATATTTTTTTCCACTGGGAATGTATGCCTTCCCCCCTCCCCCATTTTCTCTAAATCTCGTAAAAACTTTTTTTTTTCCTTTTCTTTTTCTTCTTTCCCCCAAGAAGCAAACTATGAAGTTATTGCTGGGGGTGGGGTGGGGGAGTAAATAGGGACGGCAGTTTTTCCGATCCCTTTAGGACACGTTAGAAAATTCTGAAACAAGCAGAAGCATAGTAAGTGCTTGCTTTCTTTTAAAGCTATTTCTGGGGAGGGAGGAGGCTATTGTAATGGTAAATTTCACTGCGAGAAGAAGAAAGGGTTGGTAATCAATCAAAAATGAGGTATTCCTTTGAGTTTTTGTCATTTTCTTCCTAGATAGCGAGAGGCTTTTCTCTTTAAAATATACAGAAAAAGTTTGGGTGTTTGTATGCTCCAGAAAAAAAAAAAAAAAAAAAAAAAAAAGCAGTCTTCGGAGCGGACCATTGAAAGAAGTTTTTACAAACGGAGACAAGAGAGACCACTGGGGGCTTCCGTGAGAATTCCACCGGAGCAAGATTTATATTGCAAAATGTTGAAGTGAGGAATCCTTCTGCCTCAGCATCTTGGAGTGGAGCTAGGAGGAACTTTGTACATCAGGAAGAATTTCTTTTCTCCAGACCTGTCTTTTGGCCAGCATGTGTCAGGATCCGACAGCTTGGGCTATAGAAGCGCCCGAATCTGCCTCGGGCATTTTAAATTGAACTCGAGGGATCAAGGTTTCGGCAAGATGAAGAGCACAGAGAACTTTGATGAGACTGGTGCCACGTTAAACCCTAGTGCGACCCCCAAGGGAAGGTACATTTATCTGGAAGCATTCCTGGAGGGAGGAGCTCCCTGGGGTTTTACTTTGAAAGGTGGCCTGGAGCATGGAGAACCATTAATCATCTCTAAGGTAAGCTGCTTCTTGTTTCAATGTTATCTTTATTCATATTGTTTTTTTTTTTACACCCTTTCCCCTACACCCTGATTTTTAAACTTTGGTCAGATGGGTCAAAACTGCAAAATAATTCCAAGGATTGCCTCAATATTACTTAATTTGATGTTTCATGCCTTTCTGATTAACTGGAAATATTTCGGATAGCTTGGTATTTGAAAGAGAAATATGCCTGGCTCATTTACTCTGTGAAATCCCAGGAAAAATGTGCTCATTTGATGGATAATCTTCCCTTTTTGTGAATGAAATGGTGTAAGATCAGTTGCCACATGAGCTTTTCAGTTATAAATCAGATTAAAGATTAACAGCGTGGTCAGATGGTGGCATAATACGTTATGAACAGAAAAATATCTGCTCTGTCTCCCTTCAACTGAAAATATCTAGCTTTTAAAAATATTTAACATTGTTTATAATTCTGGATAATTTATTGTATAAATATTATTTATTGCTTATTTTTACACACTCAGGAGAATTCAGCTTTCAGTATAATTAAGAGCGAAACACTACTTTTCCCACACTATTCTGTGTAAACATCTTTTTGTGTATTTGAATCTATTTTTAGACCTGAGTCATATTGAATTCTTCAGTTAGCTTTTGGTGTGAGTAGTTATAACCATTGAATGAATCCTTGTGCATTAGGCATTTCTGCTTTTCTCTTCAACTATAGAAATTAACATTACTTGTTATAATGTTTATCAAAAATTTTTAGACTATTAATAGTCTAGTACAACAGAATTTAAGCATCTTTTGTATGTGTGCATTCCCTTAAGAAACATTTGTAATTAAAGGAGAATTTTTTTTGTTTTGTTTTTTGGTTTGAAGTTGGGGAAAAAGACAATAGGTATTGCATTTGATCTCTGTTATTTATTATACCTTATATCCTCGAAAGTGTTTTGAGGGAGATCAAAGTGATTTTTACTGTGGAGAGCCCCTGGGATTTGGGATTCACAACAACCAGCCATGAATGTATTGGAGATATTCTATAAACCATGTGACCCTTTCCTTAGCTTTCTTAAGGAAAACAGAGGATGTGTGTTTGTGAGTTAGGAAGGATTCCAGGTGTAAAAAACTTAAAAACTTAATTGATAGTGGCCTAAAGTAAATTGAGATTGGCTTTTCTCATACTATAAGAAATCTATGGCTGGGGTTGTGGCTCAGCGGTAGAGTGCTTGCCTAGCATGTGTGAGGCCCTGGTTCATCCTCAGCACGGCATAAAGATAAATAAATAAAATAAAGGTACTGTGTCAAACTACAACTAAAAAAATAAATATTTTTAAAGAGCTCTTAAAGAAAGAAAGGAAGAAAGAAAAAAAGAAAGGAAGAAAGAAAAAAAGAAAGAAAGAGAGAGAAAGAAAAGAAATCTAGAGTTAGGCTAACCAGGCAAGAACAGCAGCTCAATAAGGTCACTGAGGGTCCCACTTAGACCTTTACTCTGTCATTCCTATGATGTGGGCTTTTATCTTTAAGGTTGTAGCATGGACACAGCACCTCCAGCATCCTCTTGACTCCAGGTAGGGTTTTGCTGCCCTCCATCAGATTTTTTTGCTTACATCTCATTGGCCAGAACTGTGTCACATGCCTACTCTTAGACCAATCATTGGCAAAAGGGAATTAAATTTTCAGGACTAGTTTAAACTAGTTATGATTTCTTTTATGGGTTCTGCAATAGAAGCCTCCGCTCCTGAAGTCAAGGAATCTTTGGGTATTGTTTGAACAAACTGGGGTTCTTTTTAAAGGAAAAAGAAAGTAATGGCTATTGGGTAAAAAACTGAGAATGTCTGCAGCAAACATTATCCCTTGCATTTTAAAACTTATATCCTCAATTTTCCTGACCATTAATGATAAAATATTATGTATCCATTTATTAGATGTTTGTTGTCAGAAAGGTCTAATCCGCCCTCTACTGAGCTAGCATCTCTAAACTCCATGGTATCTACAAAATGGGTACATACTACTATCTACTTTATTAGGCTGTGTAGAAATTAAATGTGACCATGCATTTAACGTAGGTTCTGCTACATAGAAGTAGCTCAAAAAAATCTTAGCAAAGATAATAATTATTGTTTTTCTTATTCTAACAGGCATTTATATTAGATCAATTTGACTACTGCACAAAGATCCAACAAACAACAATTTAAATAATATAGGAATTTATTCATCTCACATAATGGTCTGAGTATAATCCAGACTGAAAGATGGCTCTTAATATTATTAGGGACTCAAGTTCTTTTTACTTTGTCCTTACTTCCATCCCAAGCTGATGTTCCATTGATATGGCCTAAGATGACTTTTTATCACATATGCTTTCCATTCAGAAAGAAATAGGAAAAAAGGGTAAGAGAAGGCAATCTCTACAAGGGTACAATCTGATACAGTCCATGCTATCCAAAATGGTAGTCAACAGTTATATGCAGCTATTTCCATTTCAATTAAAGTTAACCAAAAAATGAAGTAACATGGGATGGGGATATAGGTCGGTTGGTAAGACTGCTTGCCTAGCATGCATAAGGCCCTGTGTTCAATCTCCAGCATCACAATAAATAAATAAATAAATAAATAAATAAATAAATAAATAAATAAAAATTTTAAAAATGAAGTAACATTTAAAATTCTGATCATTTGCACTAGCCACAATTCAGGTGTCACATTGCTCTAAAACTCTTGAATATCTCATCCCATCTGTCTGTCCAGCAAAGCCCTATTGGTGGATGCCTCATTTCTTCTCTCTGAAGTTTTCCTGATGTGTTCCAGCTGCATTAGGTGGTCTCTCTTCCATACTTCTATATCATATACTTATTACATTGAATCATGATATTTTATTTATGTTGCTTGCCTTCTCAGAAATCTGTGAACATTTTTAGGACAGGAACTATTTTCTTTTCATCTCCACCACATCTACCCAGACCCTGACTACACAAATATTTGTTGGGTAAATGAAAGGGCATTGCTGCCAGGCTCAGTGGTGCATGCCTATAATCCCAGTGGCTCAGGAGGCTGAGGCAGGAGGATCGCAAGTTCAAAGCCAGTCTCAGCAACAGTGAGGTGCTAAGCAACTCAGTGAGACCCTGTCTCAAAATAAAATACAAAATAGGGCTGGGGATGTGTCTTAGGGGTTGAGTGCCCCTGAGTTCAATTTCTGGTACCAAAAAAGAAAAAAGAAAGGGCATTGCTATGTTTTACTCATCTTGCATATCTAGGACCTAAAACAACGCCTGCCAAAGAATAAGTGCTTGATAATTTTTATTGAATTAACTAGCAAAAGATAAAATACAGCAGTGGGAGTTTAGGCAGGGAGACAGGGTCCCAAGAAATGGAGGATGCCAGGCAGGGCTCCAGAGATGGGGTATGTATTAGTTTCCTATTGCTGCTGTAACAAATTACAACAAACCAAGCCGTTTAAAACAAAACAAGTTACTAATGTACTGTTCTGTAGGTTAGCAGTCTGACACAGGTCTCACTGGACAAAAATCCAGGTATCAACAGGCCCTCTTCCTTTCTGGAGACTGTGAAAGAGAATCTACTTCCTTGCCCTTTCCATCTTCTAGAGGCCTGAAAGTTCTAGAGACCCACTTGACCTGGTGCATAGTATCTTTTCTCCATCTTCAAAGCCAGCTAGACAAAGTTGACTCCTTTTCAATTCATATAGCTCCTACTTCTAACTCTGCTTACCTCTTCCACCTGTAAGTACCCTTGTAATTTTATTGGGCTTCTCAGAATAATCCAGGATAATCTTCCTATTTAAAAATCTGCTGATGTATAACCTTGATACCACTTGCAACCTCACTTCCCCCTTTGCTATATAACCTATCATATTTACAGGTTCTGGGGATTCAAATGCAAATGTCTTTAGAAAGGGCATATTTTTGCCAATCCCAGGGTGTTTGAGTATTAGCGAAAGTCGTATAATGAAGGCAGTACTAGAAATGAGTCTAAAGTGAAATTTGGTGGCTAGTAGTGCATATCCCAGACTTTCTTTCAAGGACAATGAAAAAAATGCAAATTAGGGCTGCTGCTGTGGCTCAGTGATAGAGCGCTCACCTAGCACATGTGAGGCTCTGGGTTCGATCCTCAGCACTACATAAAAATAAATAAATAAATAAATAAAGGTATTGTGTTCAATTTTTAAAAAGTGCATATTAGTTCATGCACCACTACCCAAATGTTCCCTATTATCCCAAAGTAGGGTGACTTCCCATTTCAAGGGAAGGGAAGGAACAGTACACATTAAGTCACACATATGAGAGGCATGTACACATTTCCCCAGCAGGTATAAACTGCCAGGTTACCAAGAACAATATGGTGCATGAAGTATCATTTTTCTTTTGGTACAAATGAGGCAGGAAAATGAATGGGGGGAAAGGAACTACAAAGGGGTGGCAATAAAAGAAATCACTTTCCAATTGCTTTCTTTGGGATTTAATGTCTTTGAAAAGGAAAGGTGGGGTTGAGGAGCCTCTGTAATCTATGAACTTCAAAAAGAAAGGGTAACTTTTTTTTTTTTTTAATAGTGATTGTAAGTGAGTGCTCAGGCAATTCAATAGTTCAGGAAGTTGGCAGCAGGGTTTTATTATGACTCATTCACTGCATTGTAGCTGAGAAAAGCAGTTCCACCTGCATTGGGGATGCACCTGCTCCCAGGGCTCATAAAATAAGTAATAACAATAAACAACAACAACGGCTGGCACTTACTGAGTGCCTACTGTGTTCCAGGCTCTCTTCCAAGAGATCTGCACATGTTGACTCTCCCACAACTCCCTGCAGAAGCTAATATATGTACCCCAGTGATGGATATTTATGAGAAAGTGGGACACAGAATTTGAGTAGCTTGCTGAAGCTCTCCTACCTAGTAAGTGTTAGAGCTGGGATTAGTACCCCTGTATTCTGGTTTCAAAGTTGACACACTTATGACCAGTAGGCCATTCAGTCACCATTGCCTGACAGTTTAGCTATCCAGGGCT